GGAAGACCCAGGACACACTGGAGGGACTATGTCTCTCAGCTGGCCTGGGAACGCCTTGGCATTCCCCCGGAGGAGCTGGAGGAAGTGTCTGGAGAAAGGGAAGTCTGGGCATCTTTGCTTAGACTGCTGCCCCCGCGACCCGGTTCCGGATAAGCAGAGGAAAATAGATGGATGGATGGAGCGTCTTCGTTTTTACAATCCCCTGATGTCCTTCGTGGGCCAGTTGTAGTAATCTGAACTCCAGGGTTGAAGGAATGACAATCCTAGTGCCTCGGAGGAGGAGGTCGTCATTCAGGGATATAGTGAGTTCATTGCTGATCTGCCTGTACTTTTTTTTTGAACGGTGGCATTCTGCGCACCATCCGTGATCTTGTGCCATATTAAGCCTGATATGTGTACCGACTTCTTGCAGGACTGGATCCTTGAGCGTTTCATGTTTTATCTCGGCAAGAGTCATTGCTTTTGGTGCAGCGTGACGAGCCAGAAAGTTGATGTACTCTTCCGCTCCTTCACTGCTCTAGTGGGTTCGATAGTCTGCCCTGGAAGAGGATGTTGGGACATGTTATCCGCTGGATTTTCTGCACCTTTTCTGTATATCACTCTGAAGTCGTATGGCTGGAGCTGCAGCCCTCATCTCTCTATCCTTGTTGGTGGTTTTGAACATGGGTTGTTCCAAATCACTTCTAATGCCTTGTGATCCGTGACCAGTGTAAAGGGGTTACGTACAGATATAGATGGAAATGTTCACAGCTCCAGACGATGGCTAGTGCTTCTCGCTCAGTTTGTGAACAGCGTTTTGCTTCTCCTTGTTCCTGTCAGTCTGGTACAGGATGTCTCCGAGACCCACTGGCCTGGCATCCACGACCAGTTCAGTGTCTTTGCCAGGATCAAAATATGACATGACTGTGTCACTGGTCAGACTGTCTTTGATAATTTTCAGTGCTTTGGCTTGCTGTGGGCCCCAGTGCCACGGTGAGTCTTTCTTAGTTAGCTCACGTGGTGGTGCAGAGATGGAAGCAAAGTCTCTTATAAAACGAGAACAATACGTAGCCATGCCTAGAAAGATTCTGACTTCCGTGGGACTCTGTGGATCACTGGCTTGCTGGATGCTGGCAACTTTCCTGGGGTCAGCTGATATACCATCGGCTGAGAAGACAAAACCGAAGAACTCAAGTCTGTGTTTGTTGAACTCGCATTTGTTGTGGTTAAGAGTGAGACCACAGTCTCTTAATCGCTGGAACACTTCCCTGAGTCTGTCGTCATGCTCTGCTTGTGTTCTGCCATAGATTATTATGTTATCACTGAGGTTTTTGACGCCTTTGATTCCTTGCAATGTCTGACAGATTGCGTTCTATTTCCATGTTGGCTTGGGCTAGCTGTGGTCGTGGTTTGAATGCCTTGAACATGGACTCACAGACGACGTTTACGGTGGCTCCTGAATCTATCAGCACAGAGATTTCAACATCGTTAAGTTTGATGTATGCCTGTGGCTGAGTGGCTTCCCTGCTGCTGGCTGCAAATACATAGGCGTCATCACTGCTGGAGGAGTTTGTGGTATCAGGTGCTGTGCTGCTTACAATGTACACCTTGTTGTGTGACTTTTGTTGTCTGCCGTCTTTCCTGGCTTCCACTTCGCTATCCGGTCCATGCCATTTTTTCTTAGACCAACACTGTCTGGCGAAGTGATTTCACTTACCACAGCTTTTGCCTCGTGCTGGACAGTCTCCTTTGTGAGGATACTTCCCTCCACAGTTTCTGCATTGATTGTTTGCCTTTACTGCTTTGGTACGATGATGTGTGGTTATTTTGGCACCTTTTCGGTGTACTGCATTCACTGATGCAATTGCTCCTTGCTCCATGCCTGCCGCTTGTTGTTCAGACAATTCCATTGTTCTCCCATGCTCTAAAAGTTCGTCTAGCATGCTATCTGGCTCCCTTAGAGCATGCTGGCGGAGCCTGGTGGATATGCAGCTCTGGATAATGTGTGCTTTGATTTCCTTACATTCGTAAATTCACAATTCTTTGCGAGCATTCGGAGTCTGGTGCAGTAGTTGTCTAAGTTTTCACCTGGCTGTTGCACTGCATTTCTGAAAACATACACTTGGTATAAGATGTTTTTCTTAGGCATGAAGTATGTGTGCAGCTTCTGTTTGGCATCCGCATATTTATCATCGTCTGCAGACATGGTATCGTATATGTCATGCACACGTTCACCTGTTAGGTGTAGTAACAGTGCTTTGAGTCTCTCATCTCCTGTGATGTTCATGGCAGTGGTGTAGTTCGCAAACCTGTTGACCCATTTGGTCCACCGTGGTCCTACGGGTCTGCTTCAGTGTCAAAGGCTAGTAGGGCCACTGTGTTGCTGAACGCCATGCTGTCGGGGTAGCTGCTGCGCTAACTGGTATTAGCATGTGGCTGCCACCTGCCCTCCTCTTCTTCTCGGAGCGTGTGGAGAACGGAGGTGTCTTGTTGTCTAGTCGCTGAATTCTCGTCGCCAATGTAATGTCTGTGTGTGTGTCAACAAACAGACTATGATGTCGTGTCAAAACGTTACTTTTCTTTTATTTTCTGTAACTCCGTCACGTTACAACAGGTTTAATGCACCACCATGAACCTGCGACTTCTCTTAACCCCTGCCGCAACCTCTTTTTGTGTCTGTTATAAACTGACAGTTATGCCATCGCGCACTGTGTGCGTCCACTTAAACTCATGTGAACATTACACCTTATATCTGGCACTATGGTAAAATATCATACTGGTAAATGCTGGTTTGGTTCTGTTTTAAGAGAGCTGAACCTCTGTAGACGTGTTACCTGGTTCAGTGACTGTGAGTTGCCCAGCCTTAGTTTTAGCAGACAGTTCTTCATGTTCATAAAATCCTGACAGGTGAACGAGCAAGAACCAGCACTCAAGGTGTCTGACTTCCCCGATGAACTCACTGCAAAGACAAGACATACATTTCATATTTTCTGAGCAGACATATTCAGCATGGCTGGCCATGCTGGAAATGAAACCCTAAGTCATGACAGTATTGGTGACACTTTGTAGAATTTAAGTGATACAAAGATAAGCCACACTTGGTCACAAATTCACTTCATTTCCAAGGTTTAAAACAATGCAGTTACTACAGAAGCATTAAAAAAGCATCATCCATCTCAAAATCAGCAGCATCATTACACATTAAAATAAACAAATAATCTTGACATTGCTCACATTTATAAAAATGCAAGGATATGGCAAGGACTGACTGCCAGCCCTCTCATGAATGGATTTTTATCTATTAATATCATTGTTTTCATACATCACAATCTGTAGGTGCCCTAACAAAACAATGAAATCAAGTACTAATGAACAATGCTCCTGATTTGGGTACAAAATTTTCATCCAAAGGCTGAGAAGCTCAACTGAAACACAGAAACTCACAGGTGTGTACAGGGATGCATGAACGTTGGTCCGGTGCAAGTATGTAGCCACTGCGACAGCGACACAGGAAGCTGCCCACTGTGTTTACACACTCATGGTCACACATGCTGCTTCCTGGATTCTCACACTCATCGACGTCTGTATATATGCATGTGTGTGTGAGTGTTTGTAAGAGAGAGAGGGGACAGGAAAAAAGAAGAAAATGTTATTTGACAAACCAAATAAAAAGCTAAGATTTAAGGTTAGTATGAACCCGCTATTAAAAAAATTTAAATGAAAGCCTGAGAGAAAGAGAGCAAAAATATGGTTTAAGATGCAATAAATGTCATCCTGGCATTAACTGATCAATGCTTTAAAAGGGACAATGCTTTACTGTACAAAAAATGAAGAGGGTGCTGTTTTCCCAGTTAAGGCAAATCCAGAAAAATCACTACCAACAGGTTGCTGCTATTTAACCCTTGTGTTCTGTTAAGGATCTTAAAGAAGTAAAAAGGAACTTATTTGATTGAAGAATCTCTTGTAATGTGAACATGGTTACTGGAAGGAATAAGGAACAGTGTTGTGATGAAATGAGTGGGAAATATTCCAGCCTTGTAATAGATGGAAATTAATAATATTTCACCGAGATAAGAAGACGATAAGAGGGGAGAATACTGACCCAGACAGTAGGGAGATATGTGATTGCGATGTCTTTCTCGGTCAAAGCGGTAGCCAGGGTAACATGTGCAGACAACTCGTCCAAAGTTATCAGTACACTGCTGCTCGCAGGGCAATGCAGCACACACATCTACACCTACACAGAGAGAGAAGGTGACTAGTGTGTGGACTGAGCATGTTATCCAGGATTGCTGTCTGAATATAATTGCAATCATCCATGAACACAACAGTCTTTATCACCACTGACCACCACCTTCTACTCATAAAGTTCAACATCCAGAACTAGGAAGTGACCAGTACAGCTTCTACTGCTGGTCAGTACTGTTCACCAGTGTTCCTGGACATGACTGTGTGAGTCCAGTTTTCACATAAACCACATTTTTATGTGGATGAACACAACAAAATGTGACAATTATTTGTGCCAGTTTCTTTTTCTGTTACCTTGTTAGTTTCAGTCACTGCAATAAGTTATCTGAAATGACTAATCCTTAAATATAATTACTCCAAACTAATAAAAGTTGACTAAAACAAGCAATTATCTGGACTTCTTTAAAGGTTTGCATCTCCAGAACTTTGCGGCTTGTTCTAATGTATAAACTGCTGTAAATGAGGAAACTACTACTGCATTTCACACTAGAAGCATATTGTAGCGTTGGGTGTGGAGAGAAACTTGTGGGGTCCAAGAAATGCCCCTCTAGGCAGGATGTATTTAGTCTGGGGTTGGCAAGGTTTTGTGTGTGTGGTCAGTGTGTCCCTGGTTCTGCTGCTGCTGTGCTATTGCCAGAGGGGGGAAATAAAAGAAGAAGAAGAAAAAAGGCAACTTCTGTCTCCGGCCCCTTCTTCATGCTAGCCTATGTTACAATATGAATCAGGTGTGCAAGTTCATGAACCAAACTCAGAATATAGTGTGGATGGTTTACCTACTTTCAGGTATGCACTGGCCCATCACAAACCTGAATCCTTCACAGCATTTCCTCCTGAAAAAAGGAAAGGAAGAAAAAAAAAGACTGGAATCAGATGTGTTTATTTCTACCACCATTTACACATCAGCAGGGCCATTTTGCGAAACATGCTTATTTACTCTTTTGTCAAGAGACAGATGGTAGGATTGAGCTCATGTCTGTACAGGAAACATGAAATGCCATCCATCCTAGATTGTTAAGATGAAAAAAAGTATATTTGCTCAACAGAATGACCAATTTTTTTTCCTGAAATTGATAGTGAATGTACAAAGTAGTACTTAAATTTTTGACTCTTTAAAAAAATTTTTTACAGTACTTTTGTGATTTAAGCTTATAACTGTTTGGTGTATGCAGCATTTTTGAAATAGAACTTTGTGCAATGAACACTGGGCAACAATTTCTTCTGGCACTGATTAATGGTGTTTGGCAGTGACTCTCGTCCAGCCATCCCACAACAATCCACCACATGTTACAGACATTACAGCTGAAAAACAGAGGAAATGGCTCAGAAACTGGACCAGCACAGCCATGCAACAAATATCACATAAACACGCTGTGTTTTCAATCCTTGTGGGGACTTTACATTGACTTACATTCATTTCCTGTAGACTTATCCTAACCTTAACCATAACCACTACTTGCCTAACCCTAACCCTGCCTCTAACACTTGACCTAATACATAACCTTAAACCATGTTGCCACCCAAAAATTCAGTGATTTCCTTGTGGGGACCAGAGGCTGGTCCCCACAAGGAAATTAAAACAACTTAAAACAACACTCATACTTACCTTATTATTCAGCAGCAATTAGAAATCATCCCATGCCTGGGACCTTTTCCTGATTGTCTACTGTTGCGGCTCCATCTACCTAGAAATGTATATCTAGCTAGATAGTTATATCTATTCTCTCCCTCTCTATATGTAAGTCTCTTATATATGTGATATATATATAGCTTATATAAATGTATTATATATAAGTATATCTTATCTATATATATATCATCTATATCTAACATTATTTAGGACTATGTAACTATTTTATCTATTTCTCTTTAACTTACTATCTATCTATCTATTGATCTATCTCTCTGTCTACAGTGATTCCCCACTAAATACACAATTTGCTACAACACTACAAACTCTCAAAGCAACTAACACAACTGCAACAAACCAACCTGCTCTGCAAAGAAAAATTCAAATGAACTCCACTAAATAGGGATAACCTGTTTCTGAACACACTCTATCCTGCAAAGTGATTCACATGACAAACTGAACCAATCAGCTGATTTGAATGATGTCTGATGCTGCTTCAGATGTCCCTCAAGTGATTCAAACATCACTAGTCACGTGACCAAAACACGCCTCGGCACAGTGGTTCGATACAATTACTTCATGAGTTATCGCGCATATGTCAGAGCCTCCGGTGTCAGAGGACCATCACTAGTCACTTGTTAGGTCAGTTGGTTTTTTGTTGAGGTATCAGACAGTTCAGTTTGCTGTATTTTGAGTTTCCTTATCTTTTGTTGACCTCTTTTTTTAGGGTCCAATTTATCTGATGTTAATGTTTGCATTTTTCCTTACTTTTGGGTTAAGCTGTGTCTTTTTGCCTTACTGCTTGACCCCTGACACATAGATTTTTAGTTTAAATCTCACAGCTTTGTGATTCTCTGTCTGAATCACTTCCAATTTAACCCTTGTGTTCTGTTAAGGATCATAAATGTGTCTCATCATATACAGACTTAATATTTTACCTCTTTTTTATTATGGTTCTACCTCTTGTACCAACACTGTAAAAAACACTGCCTTGAAGAACAGTACTGTGTGATTGCAGTCATTTATGTAGAATCAGTGCAAAAGACGCATACATATTCTGTAAACAATGGCCCATTTTGTGAGTAAAACACCCACATATTTCAGCCACATCTTTCATCAGTGTGCAATCATATGAGTCAGTATTAAAAGTATTTTCTTCAGGTTCAGGAAGTTTTGAATCTTATAACATGTCTGTGGGTGAGGATGATGAATTATGAAAGTCAACTAGTAAAATCATTGTTTTATGCTCAACTATTTATTAGGTGATTCATAAGGAAGTACAATAAAATAAAAAAGACAATGACAATGAAAAACAAATATTTAAGTCAAAATTATGAGATAAAGTCCAAATTTTGACTTACTAAAATCAATTATACAGTCAGGCAACTGGTTACAGCCATGGATAGGTAAGTAACTTAGTAAAATTTACAAATAGAAATAATTTTTTAGCAATATAATTATCAATTGATATGTATCAGAGGCACAGCATGTGAGCGGAGTGGCATGCAAGCAAGCAGGAAGTGGGAGCGGGGAGATTTTGGACTGATTGCAGGGCGTCGCTCTACATCCTGCTCCAATATGACTCAAGTACCACTCACACCACAAGCCTGAAGCATGCCCAAGCCTGGCCTAGATTACATTTCTCTATTTTTATTTAATTAGGCCCATTGACTCATTGAATTTTACATATGACTTTGTGTTATATTCCTTGTTTCATAGACCTAACTATAATTTGAAATATATCATTTATATTTGGAGAAAAAAGTAGTTGTGTCAGGTTTGCTTGGCTACACCTGCCTCTCTCGCCTCCCTCTCTTTGTTTTTCGGTTCCTGATTATGCCACATTTCACACCTGCTACACATTCCTTAATTAACACCAGCTGCATTCACTCAGTCCTTCAGAATACTTATACATAGCTCATTCCAAGTAAAAGAGTTAGGTTTTTTGTTTAAGGAATCATATTACGAGGGTTAAACTATCATGGGAATGTTTCCTTTAATTGGAATGACATTACTGGGAAACTGACCTGCTTTGGCGGAGGTTTGTGCTCTCTGAGTCTGAGTGCTGTCTGGTTATTTTAAAGTTTATATTGAAAATCTGTTCTTTTTTTTTCTTCCTGTGCCATATAGTTTACTATAGCCTGTGTTCTGATGTTGCTCTATATATAGCTCTGACTTATTTATGTATCATTCCCTTTGTGTATTTTTGTGTTTGTATTTATTTCTTCATTCATGCTTTTCCTAGTATTTCCATTAAGATTTGTTCTGCTGATATAGTTTGCTCCCCCTGTGCTGCACATGCCCTCTCACAATAGTAATGCAGTTGTAAAATTAACAGACGACACTGACATAATTGGACTCATTAAAAACAAGGATGAAACTGCTTAAAGAAATTATTTGGTGGTAGTCCTAGATGTTAACATACTGTAACAAAAACAAAAGAACTGAAGCAACAAACTGCTTCACTACTAATAAACAAGTCTGTGGAGAGAATGTATTCTATTAAGTATCTGGGTATTCACATTTCAGACGAGGCTACATGGAGGATAAATATAACAGCTACTATCAAAACAATCATATGAATGACTGTACTTTTGTCAGTTCCTCAGGAAAGTACACATATCTGAACAGTTGTTGGTGTCTTTCTATAGAAGTGTGATGAAAAGTGAACTCGCATATGCCTTTTGTGTTTAGTTTGGTTTGGCACTGTCAAGAGGGATTGTTAAGGCAGTTCAAAAAGTCATCGCCACACAGCTTCCTATTCTGGAATCCATCTATAACACTCGGTGTATCAACAGGGCACTTAAGATTTTAAGGGACCCTTCCCAACCTGGACATCACTTATTTACGCTCTTACCCTCTGGGAGGCACTATAGATAGATAAGAAACAGAACAAAAACCTCCTTTTACTCTAGTGTCATGGTGCAACTTAAATTTCCTTGTATGTTATACAATGACAATAAAGCTTCATTCATTCACTCATTTACATGCAATTGAATGTAATTAAATGTATTTTAAAAATAAGAATAAAAAGAATAGGTGCAATCTAGTAATGCTGTATCCAGTTCTGTCTTAATACTTCCATAGTCTACTGACTGCGCTGTGCTGTCCAACTGGGAAGAACCAAACAGCCTGAACAGTCTATGTGTATCCATTCAACTTACTGCTGATCAGAATATAAACTTGCAAACCATGACAGTATTATTAATATAACAAACAAACGTAACAACCTCTCATGTGGCGCCCCTCCAGGCATTTGCCACTTTCTCTCACCAGTCAGCCAATTTGTGGCTGACCCAACAACTACCTGCCCAGTGAAGGGTGCAGTCAGATCATGGATGAGACAACAGTCTGCTGTCAAATTCAGCAGGGAGCCCCTGGAAGAAACACAGACAGGATCCAGAGGCAGGCCTGGGCCTGGATCACTTTACACTGAGGATTCTATACTTTAGCAAGGGATATCCTTTTGGGGGAAGGGGGAGTATATAGGGGGTAATGCTCAATGATATAACTCCCCATCCTGCATTACTGCAATTTATCTGTGCATTCACAGGCAGGAATGTGCTATAAAGAAAGGACATTAATTATAGCACCTTGACACTACTCCGCCTCTACACCACACACACACACACACACACACACACACACCTCCCCAGTCCCCAGCCTAAACCGGGGTCCTGAGAGCAGAGCACAGTGTGGATGAGGCTTTCCGTAAACAGTGCTGCAGTCACCCTGCATTTTGAGTCCCATTCGGATTAGTGAGTGTTGTTCTCCCTCTTTGTTGACAAGAGTTCTAAATGAGAGGTAATGAGAGGTTTCATCATTTGGTCTCTTTTGCTTTCTTGCCCTTGGAAATGAATCCCATCATGTGTATACTGCCTTTAACTGTGAATCTGTGCGGTGACCTGGAGCGGATTTTAAGATGATGAGGGAGGAAATGAGCAAGAAATGAGGGAGGACTTTGACAGGGGGAAGAAGAGGAGGATTAAAAGCAAGCAAGCAAAACTTTATTTATATAGCACCTTTCTAAACCAAGGTTACAAAGTGCTTCACAATTAAAGAAAACAAAATAAGCAATAAAAGCATAAAGTCAGATTAATATAAGAAAACAAAACAAATCATAACACATAGTAAACTCAGGAAATACAAACAAAACAAAAGCCCTACGTGCAGTCAATATAGAACACCTTGCCTGAATAAGTA